AAAAAAAAAAAAGATTGACCAAAAAAAAAAAAAAAAAGAATTTGCTATAAACACCTAGTGGAATAGTACTCAACCTTAAGAAATTCTATCACATGTGACAATGTGGACGAACCTGGAAGACATAACATTAAGTGAAATAAGCCAGGCATAGAAAAACAAAGGACGCAAGTTCTCGCCTATAAGCAGAACCTAAAAACATCAGAATCCATGAAAGCAGACAGTGCAGACTGGTGATTACCAAGGGCTGGCATAGGGAGGAAGCATCAAGGTGACTTTATGTTCAAAGAACGAAGTATTTTCAAAAGATAGTTTGGATACTGTCGGGCTATGATTAAAAACACACAGATACACCTGAAAATTGCTAATGGAAGTTTAAGTGTTCTAAATAAAAAACAAAAGAAGCATATAGTGTAAAAGATATGTTAACTAGGAAGATTAGTCTGTTCTACTATGCGTACTTCTAAATAGTTGTATATGATAAATATTTTTGTCACTTAAAAATAAATAAAACAAGCGTTACAACAAATCAGAAGACTGAACACAGAAGGAATATATTCTATTACAGTTCAGAAACTCCAAAGTCCTAAATGAAGGTATTAGCAAGGCCAGATGGGATCTCTCTCCAGAGATTCTAGGGAGCTCCATTTTAGGTTCATGCAGGCTTGGGTGGCTGGAGGCTCTCTTGGTTGGGGATGCCTCACACAGACTTTAGCTCTGCAATCATATAACACCGGGGCCCTGTGTCGAATCTTCCTCTGCCCCCACCTTCAAAGACACTTGTGATAGAATTTAGGTTCACCCAGATAACTTTTTCAACTCAACATGTTTAATTACACAAGTCCAAGATTCCTCCATCAAATAAGGCCAGAGAAGACACACAGGAAACATAAGGTAGGGGACAAGATGAAGGGTGTTCGGCAGAGCGCCTGCTCAGGGCTATTCAATGGGGTCTACAGCCAGGCAACTTCCTTGGTAACTTAGAGTCATGAGATTTTTTTCTGTCTCCCATTTCAATGACATTTTACCACATGTGAAATTTTAAAGACAATAGAAGTTATGTTCACAGAGTCATGTTGAAGTTCATAATTTTACTGCTATCTTGAGACATGCAACATCTATGTAAATACATTCATACATGTTCACACCCCCTCATCAGTTATAACAGTCTCATGCAGGTATAAACACGGCTTCAAAACATGGAATCACCAACTGCGAAACAATTCTTGAATGAATATTAAAGATATCATTTCTAAAATGATGGATGAATATATAGAAAAAACATTTTTGGCGCTATATAGGATGCAGATATTCAGTGAGCTACTTATTATTAAGCAAAACAAGGCTGGAGTGAACAGAAGACTTAAGGAAGCTAACTACAAGTGCACGTACCCGTCTTTGGTCTGATCCACCACACCGCCTAAAAGTTCCACAGTCTTTGGGTTGGGCTGGTTTTCTCCAAAAATATTCAGATACCGAGTGACAAAGTCATTGGGAGACATAAAAAATTCACCATTTTTTTCAATGCTTGCATACTGTTAAAAAAAAGAGGTAAGAGACATTATTTAATATAACTGATTCTTAAAAGTATATAATCATGCTCAATACTGAAAAGGCCACAAACATTCAAAAGATAAAAATCACATATGTTAATGCCATCTTCCAAAGGCAATTATCACCCCTCACTCCAAGGAAAGAATTTAAACAGTCAAGTTTTATGCTTATCAGTAGCACTCGAGTGGCTTTTCCCCCAAAAGGAAACATTTGGTAATGTCCGATAAAAATTTTGATTGTCATGACTTGGGGAAAGGGAAGGTTTCTAGGGAACATAAAATAACGTCCACACAGGGTATGAAGCCCAGGTAGCCTCAAACTCAGGAGCTCCCTACCTCAGTCTCGGAAGTGCTAGGTTCCGGGAAAGTGAGTTTGATAACACGTCCTGCCTAAGGTAGGATCAGCTGGGAAACATTGAATCCCCTTTGAGGAGGCTGTAGTGAGGCAGCTCCGACACCTTGCGTCCCTATGTGGGAAACCAAAGCCCAATGCAGTGCAAAAACAGAAACAAAACTGAAGCATATAAAGGGACTCTGGCTTTCTGTTTTAGCCCATCAAACCTATTTCCTTTATTTTGTTCCGATAAGCACTTTATAGAAGTTGCTCCCTCCACCCTCTTGCTGGAGTCCCTGATGGCTTGGGGTTTGCCCAGTTCCTGAGTCTTGGACTGTACAAATAGCTCACTCAAATGCTAGCAGACCTGGTTCTTCTGTCAACAGATCATGGAGGCTTCCAGTCTCTGAGAAAAGATGGCAGACTGAGCTGAGTGCTGCCGGGAGCCACACAACAGCTCCCTGTATCAGAAGCAGATTTAAATCTACCCTCGTTCGTGTCCTCTCGCTCAGCGTTACACAGGAACTCACTGGCACAGGACTCCCCTCCGTGGTGTCCTTCTAGGACTTGGTCCAGTTTAGGCAAGAGGGACTTGGCTGTGTCTTGTTCCGGGGACACCCAAGTTTTGGGAAATGCTGAGAATAAACATGATGCTGGCTGGCATCCTTGTGGGGCAGAAGCAGATTTCCCATTTCCAAAGACAAAAGAGCAAAGGGAGGGGAGAACAATATGCCTGAGCACAGGGCTTTCTAGGTGATCAGAACCACAACAGCAGCCAGGGCAATGAGGGGCAATAGCAGACTTTGTAATCTTGCAGTTTTAGGCTGTACCTGTTACCACCTGAAAGTCTTGACAGTTAAACTTTCTGGACTCCGATGCCTCATCTGCAAAATGGGTATAATAATATTACCAGCTCCAATTGGCTGATGCATGAAGCAAACAAGATAATAATGAAATACAGTATGAACAATGACCAGAACATAATAAGCACACTTTTGGTTTTGCTTTTTAAATACATTTATGTGTGTATGTGTGTATATGTATGTATGTATGCATGCATGCGTTATATGCACATGCCACAGCATTCATGTGGAAACCACAGGGCAACTTGTGGAAGTCAGAAGTCTCCTTTCCACCCCTGAGTCCTGGGGGTGAAACTCGGGAAATCAGGTTAGTGGCGAGCACCTTTACCCACTGAACCTTTCCGCTGGCTCCTGTTTTGGCTATTGTAAAGGTCTTTTCTTTAATCCTCTGTTTCACTGACTGGCATCTGCTGCTGGTGCGGACCAAGTCAAGGATGTAACGAGGATTCTCTTTCATCCAGCCCTGGCCACTGCCTATGGGAGGCCGTGGGAAATGGTAGGGTTCCATCTTCTAAGCATGCTTCACAGAGAGAAAGTGCAGAAAGAGACAGCCCAAGATGCCACCATCCTTGAGCGGCATTTATTTCAGGGCCGAGGGGATGTCGGCAAGAAAGAATTTACTGTTTTTCCCCCATATGAAGACAAACACGCTTGAAATGGAAGGGTATGTCTCTCACTGCTAATGACAGCAATCCTACGGTTTGGTTATACCACGGTGTATATAACCCTATGATAGTGATTAATTTGCTGTAAAACACAATGTCACTTTTCTCCTGCTGGTACACATTTAGATTATTTCCAGTTCGGGTTATTCTGTAAGGAAACCTAAGATAGCCATTCTTGTATATAACATTTGTACAAATTCCTGACTATTTTCAAAAACTAGACCCAGTAAAAGAAGAAATCGTTGAGTTACAGGACAGGAACTTGCAGGCAGCGGCACTTATTATCAAACTGTTCTCCAGAAACGACTCCACCAATCTACTCTGCCACCAACGGTGCGAGAAGATGCTCTTGCCCCCTTCCAGGGTCAGATTTGTTTCAAATACTTTTTCGCTTTGACATTTTTATGTAATTGAGTCTAAAGGGCTTTTGTCCCCCTTTGTAAGTGCTTCTGTTCCTTTTCTGACCTTAGAAAGCTAGTCTTTTCTCATTGCGAGGCCAAATACCAACACAGTTTCTCTCCTGGCTTTTGAGCACATCTTTATTGGCCGTTAGCATATAGCATAGCCTTGTCTGTGTGTGGTCTGACAGAAGGCTCTTCCAACTGTAGCTTCTTCTACTCCGTCTATTGGTTGTTCCAGGCCCACAAACCAGTCTTTCCCTTCCCTACTCTTTGGGATGCAGGTTTTTCACTCATAGATTTTCATATGGTCATGAGAGAATACATGGAGACGCCGACTCCAACTGCAGCTTCAGTTCTGACAGGCTGGAATGGCTTCCTGGGCCAGCGTGCACTCTGCAGCTGCCAGGAACATCACCATGAACACAGGAAGGTCTGGCAGTTCTGATCAGTGGGAGATGGTCCAGGACCATCCTTTCTTGTTGACCTGCCCGTCCTTGCAAGGGAACAGTGACTCTTACTTGCTGCATCTGCAGGGAGGGCTCTGTCAGGACAGGACATATTGGCTGTATTTTCATTGTTGTTTCCATAAATTCCCAGACTGCTCCCTGGCCGTAAAACGTGTTCAAAATATATTTTGAGTCAATGAAAGGCTCAGAATGTTGTATTACTTTCTCCTGGAGCTTTTCTTGGCCCTTCGAATTTTCCCCAAATGACCTTTGGAATCATTGTCAAGCTGTGGACCCTAGACACATTTTTCTCTGAAATGCAAGATCAGATTACAGTGAACTACACCACTCACTCACACAATAGTGAAAGATAATGAATGTTGGCAAAAATGCAGAATACTCACCAGGCAGTGGTGGTGCACACCTTTAATCTCAACACTCGGGAGGCAAAGGTAGGCAGATCTCTGTGAGTTCGAGGCCAGCCTGGTCTACAAGAGCTAGTTCCAAGACAGGCTCTAAAGCTACAGAGAAACCCTGGCTTGAAAAACCAAAAAACAAAACAAAAAAAGCAGACCTCCCACATGCTAGTTGTGTAAAAATAAACCGATAACCCTGAGAATGGCCCAGGGGTCAAGAGAACTGGCTGCTCTTCCAGACGATCTGGGGTTCAATTCCCAGAGCCCAGAAAAGCAGCTCCCAACTCCCTGAAACTCCAGCTTGCAGAATGTGGCACCCTCACCGACATACATGCAGGCAAAACACCAATGCATGTAAGAATGAGTAAATATTTTTAAGTAGATTTATTTAAATAAATAAACTGACATTTTAGGAAACTGCTGGGCAGCGTCTACTATAACGGCGCCTAACACAAATAACCACAGACTTAGCAATTTCAATCATAAGGAAACCTCCAACAAAATGAGTTAGAACACCAAAAACGTCATATATATTATATATATACAACTATATATAACATATATAATTATATAAGATAGATAGATATTGATAGATAGATGATAGATGATAGATAGATAGATAGATAGATAGATAGATAGATAGATAGATAGATAGATGATAGATAGATAGATGATAGATATAGGTAGATAGATGATAGATAGATAGATAGATGATAGGTAGGTAGGTAGATAGATAGATAGATAGATAGATAGATAGATAGATATAAAGCCCAGATGAGGCCCAACAGCTGGAAACATAATTTACTGTCATATCATCAGTCACGCAATATAAAACAACATAATAATGAGGATAAACTAAATGTGATAAAGTGTTAATTTGGATACAGAATACAGTTTTATTAAGCTTAGAACAGGCTCGTCCAAGGCATGGATGACTCACTTTGGGATTCAAGTACACATGTCAAAGGTTGTCTCTTAGACCATGGAACAGACCAAAGCATGTACAGAGGTGGGACAAAGACAGCTTAGTTGTCCTTGAGGAAGAGACTCTTAGAGACGCCACATCTCTAGAACACCATTCATAGCTCTCTGCGAATATTTCAGACAGGGTTTCTCTGTGTAGCTCTCCCTGGCTGTCCTGGAACTCGCTTTGTAGACCAGGCTGGACTCGAACTCACAGAGTCTGCCTCTCTCTCTCTCTCTCTCTCTCTCTCTCTCCCAGTTTTTTGAGGGTAGTTTTAATTCTTTCAATTATTTTGTATTTCTGCTTACAGCACTCTGAACGAGGAACCTGTCCCTGGAGTGCCCTCCACAAGGACAGGAGTGCTATCTGGCCTGCTCCTCGCTGGCTAGCCTGGGAGTGATGACCTGGGTCAGAGCCCTTATCACGCGTTAGCCTGGAGTCACCCACTTCCTGGGGCTGAAGGGCAAATTCTCCTTGACATTCTCTCAGCCAGAGAATCCCTGTGCACACCAGGTCACCTGCCTCTGACTCCCTGTTCCAAGGATGGAAGAAAACAAAACAGAATAAGAATACCGACAGCTGATATTCGCTGTTTCAGGGATCACTGGTGTTCTCTTAACTGGGTCCACAATGTAAAAACGAAAGTATGCTTATTAACTGAACACCAAGGTGAATTATAATAAATGACAAACAAAGAAATAAGTTAGCAAAGTATGTGTGAAAGTGTACAAACAAATTAAAGTCAAATCATATAGGTGTTTGCTTTACAATTCTATTTCTGTTTGAAACTGTCACAATAAAAAGCTAAAATTCAAGCATCCTAAGGCTTTCATTTTAATATGCTGCTATGTGTTTAAAATGAAAATTTTAAATAACATACAATTTTTCCACTA